GCCTGCCTCTCGCCCGGCGATGCCGTGCTCAGCATCTGGAGCGGCGGCTTCTACAGCAACCGCAGCCTGGCGCTCGTCATGAGCCAGGCCCGCTTCGAGAGGATCCTCAAGTACTTCCACGTGGTGGCCTTCCGCTCCAGCCAGACGTCGCACGGGCTCTACAAGGTCCAGCCCTTCCTGGACTCCCTGCAGAGCAGCTTCGCCTCAGCCTTCAGGCCTTCGCAAACCCAGGTGAGGCTGTCAGGGCACAGCTGACGAGGTGCCCGTGGCTCCCCGGCCCGTGGTGGCTGGTAGTGGGACTCTGGGGACTTGGGGCCCGGCCTGTCCTCTGAGCCATTAGAGGTCACCCGTGCTCTTCTTCCCTTGGTCAGCCCTGTCCTCCAGATTCGTGGGGAGGGAACAAGGGTTGAACCAGTGGCCCAGGCAGACGGTGGGGAGCAGTCTTTGGCTCTGAGCTGCACCCCCCTCCTCGTTTCTCCCCATCTCTCTTCTCCCTCGGTGGCTCTCTCTTCTGAATTGGGTTTTGCTCAGGCAAATGCAAAAATGAGAACAGTGAATTTGTAATTCACTTACTGATGACGACAAGGAAAGAAGCAGAGGGTCAGAAGCTCTCGCAGGCCCTCTTGCTTGAGGCTCTGCAGGCGACACGCTCCAGGCGCACGACACGGAGGACAGTGCTTATTCAGAGGGCGGGTGGCTGCGAGACCTGGCCTCCAAGTGAGGAAGCGTGGATGTGGGTCTTCAGCAGGGAGGGCTGTGCAGGGCAAGGGTGGCAGCCAGGCCTGGGCCCTCGCCATGGCCCCATCTCCACGGGGCAGGACGCTTGTCCATTCGTGCGAGTGGCTTCAGATAGGGCTCAGACTGTTAAAGAGCAGAAGCGTCAGAGGCTGGGCCTGTGGGCCGGGGGTGCCAGTGCCAACCAGCCTCTGCGGCCCTCCCCTTCACAGGCCAGGAGACCAGTTAGGGTCCCCGCCCCATTCTGACAAAGAGGAGCGAACATGTACAGCCAACACCGGCAACACAAGGGCTCTTCGCAAAGCTTGTGGCCAATGCATATCAGGGAAAATGATGTGTGGATTTCAATTCTTCTACACCCAAATAAACTGGTACTTGAATTCCATTTTCTATGAACTTTTCAAAGCCCCCTATACAAAGCTGGTCCTTTCTGAAGACGGAATTCCCGGAAGTTAGTGGACGAATGGCCAGATGTGTTTGGCCTCAAGCAGTAAGGCGTCCTCTTTTCGTCCCAGATCTGTGTTGGGCCTGCGGCAGGAGCTCTGCTGTCTGATGGTTTGTGAGAGAGCATTAGGCCTGGAGTGGGCATGGGCTGACCCGAGAGTGTCTTGTCTTTTCCTGGGGCAGAAGTCGGATCAGTAGGTTTCAGTTAAGTGCAAATTCTGAGTCAGAGGCAAAGAATCTTTTAGTAGTTGGAGCGTTCCGTTGGTGGAAAGGGCTTCCTCAAAAAGGAACGGGCAGCCCGCACTGGGTGTGTCCAGTCAGCGGGAAAGAACTGCCGAGAGCCCTTCACCGAGTGTAGACCAGGACTGGGGAGGGCAGCCGGTAGGAGTCATGACGGGGCCAACTGTGTCTGCTGGGAGCCTGTCAGGGTCTGCACCTTACATGGAGCTTCTCGCTGAATCCCCTTAAAACACTCCTGCGGATACTGCGAATACCCTCTTCCGGATGAGGAGACAGGCTCAGAGAGGAAAGGAATTTGCCAAGGTCACACACCTGGATAACGGCAGAGACTAGATTTGAGTTGGGCTCCATGAAGCCCCTAGCACACTCCTCCTCCCCTGAGAACCTCCGCCTTCCTCCTGGCAGGTGCTACATGAACCCCTGATCGACGAGGACCCTGTGTTCATTGCCACGTGCACGGAGAGGGAACTGAGGAAGAGGAAAAAGCGGAAATTCAGCCTGTGGGTCAGGCAGTGTTCCTCCACGGGCTTCATCATCCAGGTGAGTCCTGGGCGGGGCTGCGCAGGGCCGGGAGGACACCGCGGGGCCTTGGGCCCACGAGAATTTGTTCACATGCCCTTTTCACTGTGCGTCGAACTCCGCCCAGATGCTCGGGAGGCTGGCTGGCTGCCCCCTCCTGGCTGCCAGAGGCCACTGCCGTGCCCTGCACAGTCCCTGGTCATTCGTCCACCCCACACCAGCCCCTCGGGCCCTGAGGTGTCGGCCAGAGGCATCACACAAACAGTGGGTCCTGAGTGGTGGCTGCTGTCCCTGCAGGCTGTTTTCAGGGCTTGTGACCTATGGCTGTCCCAGCACACCTCCCCACAGGGTCTCTGCCCAGCTCCACCTCCCTGCCGGGTCTCTGCCCAGCTCCACCTCCCCCGCCTGGTCTCTGCCCAGCTCCGGGGCATTAGGAGTCTGGTGGAAGGCCTAGGGCCACACCCAGCTATTGCACCCCGGAGCTCCCTCAAAGCCACTAGGCTGTGTTGCCTTCCCAAGGTGAAAACTTTCCCCATGTAGATAAAAGCCAGTTCTTCAACCTGGCTGTGGTGGACGGGGCTCTAGACTGGTCATCACAAACCCCTCTTATTTTTTTTTGGAGAGATTTTCACTGTAGGGCGCGTGCACTCGCCAGACAGACAGAGAGAGACAGAGAGACAGAAAGCGAGAAATCACCCCCCAGGGGGGATGGTCACGCCGCAATCCCTTCTCCTCCATTCTCCTCTCAGGATCTTGGGCACGCACGCACACGCGCCCGGCGTGAGTTTTAAGTCACCGGGTCCAGGACGCGAACCGCGGTCAACTACGTGGGAGTCCAGCAACATAGCCATTACGCTAACTGCTGGTTCCCAAATCCCTCTTATTTTGAGACATTCTTTATTGAAAGAATTCAAGGAAGTTGCACTGACGTGTTCCTTGTTCTTATTTGATTTCTAATCTTTCTTATACACTTAGTGAAGGAAATCTTTTGCTCCCGACCTCTAATGTCCTGGGTTAGCTTCTCACAGTGAGAGGCAGAGTGGGTAACTGGGCAGAGTGACTTTTGACTGTGGACTCAGACTTCGGCCTAGAGAACCGCGAGCTCATCATTGGGAATTGTGCGAGCCCCCACGTCCACGCCAGTTGTTACACAGCAACTGAAAGAACACAGCATTTTGCAGCCAGCAGGTAGTGTGGTGGTTAAGGTGCTGGACTCCCATGTGGCTGACCACGGTTCGAGTCCTGGACCTGGCTGTTTGCTTTCTCACTTTGTCTCTTTGTTTCTCTCTGGTGAGTGCACGTGTCCTATAGATGAAAATAACAATAATAATAAAACTAAATAATTCTTAAAAAAAAAAAAAGAACACAGCGTTTTGAAACCTGAGTGCAGGTCCGGCCTGGCGACTCAGCAGCGCATAGAACCAGTGCTGGAAGCCACATGGCAGCCACGGTCTCAGCCACGACCCGACTGACTTGAACACTGGCTGCGTGCAACATCCCCAGGATCCTGACGGGCAGAGGGCTGGGCAGGGGCTCCCAGCACGGCCAGGCCCCGCAGAGGCGCCATTCTCCGTCACACTCTCGTGCCCTTTGCCCTAAAGTTTAAATACGTTGAGTGGGTGTCTGCATCGCAATGTCACACGTGCAGCTGTGTGAGTGACAGGCAAGACCCTGGAAACTTCTCTTTTAGAGAGAGATGTTTTGCTCTATGGCACATGCACTCTCCAGAGAGACAGAGACAGAGACAGACAGAAATCACCCCCGGGGGGCTGGCTGCAGCACACCTCCTTTTCCTCCATCCTCCTCTCGGGATCTTGAGCATGCACACTCATACACCCAGTGTGAGTCTCAAGTCACCAGGCCCGGGACTTGAACCGCAGTTGACTACATGGGAATCCAGCGACATAGCCACTATGCCAACTGCTGGTCCCCGTGCCAATGTCTTATACTCCTTTGAAGAGAGTCGTTCCAGGAGTCAAGGTGACATTTGGTAAAGGCACAGAGAGCCCAAGTGGGAGAGCCTGGGTCTGCCCAGTGACCCGCAGGAACATTCAGGTTTTCTAGCTGCATCCTAGAGGCTGCCAGAGGGTGGGATTCTTCTCCCTGGGACAACCTGGGACTGTTGTGGGTAGGGGCAGCTCGCCCAGGTGGGCTGCTCTGGAATCAGACCTTCAGTCACTCGTGCAGACCTGCCTCCAGGACGTCACACGCTGGGTTTTGCGCATGATCCCCAGAGTCATTTGGTGGGACGGACGTGGAGGAGGGCGTCCGGGTCCTCCCTGTTGTCCACATCGGTGTCTCCCAGTGGGACAGTCATCGGCCTTTGCATGGGCTGCCCCGGCACAGCAGCTCAGTGCCCCAGACAGTCAGGGTTCACCTCTGAGGGTCTCTGCTGCTCGAGCGTAGAGCCTGGGCATGGGGGAGCTGCCAGAAAGGTACCTGGAATGTTCCAGAGACAGGCTGATCTCCCAAAGGAGGCTGCTAGTACCCACATGGCTCGTGCTGGTTTGGGACTTGAACCACACTGTCAGCTACGTGGGATCTGGCCGCCCTCGCCACACCACAGCCGCCTCCACTGTTACTCACAGTAAACTTGCGCCGACCTCAGCTGCCAGGCCCATCCCCTGCAGCTCGTCTTTTCCTGTTTCCCCTTGAACTTTCCGAGCCACCAGCTGCTGGGCTGTGGCGTGACGTGGCCTCTGGGCCAAGGAGCCGAGGGGTGGCCTTGCCACGGGCTCCCGGCCTGATGACGAGGCCGGAGCATCCCGAGCCTGGTGTCCAGCGTCACTGAGGATGACTGACCTCCTGTGCTTTCGTTCAAGCTTTACGTGCACCTGAAGGAAGGCGGGGGCCCCGATGGCCTGGACGCGCTGAAGAACAAGCCGCAGCTGCACAGCGCGGTGGCCAGGAGCCTGTGCCGGAACGCGGCCGGCAAGAACTACATCGTCTTCACGGGGCCCAGCATCACCAGCCTGACCCTGTTTGAAGAGTTCGAGAAGCAAGGTGCACACGGGGAGCGTGGCCCTGCCTCCTGGAGACATGGAGGGAGACGCCTGGCCTGGGGTCAGGGTGTTGGTCCCGCAGGACCACAGGGGGCCAGGCCCGGCGGCCCCTCCTGAGGGGGCAGATTCATGTCAGCCCACCCACTGCTGGGCCCTAGTGGGCACAGGAGACCTCCAGGTCTATGAGACACGGGCTTTGGGTTGGCACAGAGCCCTGCCCTGTCCTCTGGGCACTTCTCGGTTCATCCTTTGCTGTGAGGCAGCAGCCATCCAAGGTGGTCATCTCCAAGCTCAGCTCCTAGTGGGACTCTGGGCGTCTCCCGAACCTCAGCGGCATGGGAGACAGGACAGAGTAACACAGTGGGCCCCAGGGGCTCTCAGGTCTCGGTGCCGAGCTGCTCGGTCCATTCGTTGTGAAGACCGGGCAGGCCGTCGTGGCTGCGGCCAAAATGTGGGCTCAAGAGAAGGAGGCCGGGCTAGGCCAGCTGGAGGCCCTGGAGAGCTGGGCTGGCTTTGGCTCCACTACATCAGCGAGCACCCTCGGGAGAAGCGCGAGAGCTCTCACCGCCACAGCCACTCGGTCACAACCTTTAGCAACAGCTCAGACGAGCCCTCCTGCAGTATCGATAGCAGGGCCACATGCATCCCCCGGGGCCCTCGTCCACTGCAGCCTTGCCCCGGCCTGCGTCTTCCTGTCCACAGAGCCCCCAGCCCTACAGGGCTCAGTCCCTCTTTGTTGAAAGACTCACACGGGGAGGTGGGAGTCGGTCCAGGTGAGGACGCTGTGGGCGGCAAGGTGGAGACCAGGGCCCTCATGCACCGTACCTGGCCCAGTTAGAACGGTGGGCTTTCCATGTGGGAGGCAGCGGGTGTGGCGAGGCCTCCCGGGCACTAGTTCCTAACAGCCCACCCCCAGTGAGTCTTTCCGGTCTGAGAGGGAAGTCCCAGTCCCAGCTCCTCCTCTCCCAGGGCGCTCTCGTGAGAGGGAAGTCCCAGCTCCTCCTCTCCCAGGGCGCTCTCCACCAGCCTGGAAAGGACCCTCAGCTTAGCCCAGTGTTTCAGTATCCTTCCTTTGCATGCAACTGAGCTCCCAGGATAACCCTCAGCTTAGCCCAGTGTTTCAATCTCCTTCCTTTGCATGCAACTGAGCTCCCAGGAGGGGGCTGTGCTTCACAGGGTTGCCCTGGGGTGCTCCCTGCTGGGCTGTGGCAGGTGGTCTGTGAGACTGTGGGAGGACTGAGTACAGTCCGGGTAGGCCTCTCACTGTGTGCAATGCCTCCCGGAGCGTGGAGGTTTTTGGAAGCAGATGGAAGACGGTGCACATGCTCCGCGCTGCTCGGCTAGCAGCCAGTGCTGGTCTCGTGGCCTTTCCTGCAACCCAACGTCCCCTCTCCCAGAGACACTGGGGGCAGCAGAGGGCTGAGCAGCCTCCACAGGCGCGCGCTCGAGTGTCCAAGCACGGGCCTCGGCATAGGCAGCCCCGTCCTCTCCTCGGGGACGTGCAGGGTGAGGGTGACCCTGGGCGTCCTGTCCCTCTCCCGACCAGAGATCTACTGCTGTGGGCTGCTCAGCGCCAGGAAGAGCGACTGCACCGGGCTGCCGCCGTCCATGCTGACCAACCCCGCCACGCCCCCCGCCCGCGGCCAGCACCAGATCAGGATGAAAGGCAACATGTCCCTCATCTGCTGGTACAACAAAGGCCACTTCCGCTTCCTGACCAACGCCTACTCGCCACTACAGCAAGGTGAGCAGAGACCAGGGGGCCTGGGTGTCCCAGGGGCTGCGATGAGCTGAGTGGACAGTGGTGAGTTTGACGTCCCCAGTTGCCCACTACGCTGCTCTGGGCCAGGCCAGTTCCAACTGTCCTCAGCCTCCAGGGCCATGACCGGAACTGCTGCTGCCCCCTGGGGGGGTGGAAGGCCAGGGAGGAGCTTCCTGAGCCCTGAGCTCCCCGCTACTGTACCGTGGGCAGAGGCCAGGCTGAGGGACTTGCAGGACACTTACACAACCCTGGAGCCCCAGGTCGGGTGCAGTGTGAGGAGCCTCACTGAGCTGTGTGTGTGCCCACTTACGGGGCTCTGAGGAAATCTGCTGTGGGAAGAACCTATCTGCCACTCTTACTCCTCGTGGCTCCCCTAGAAACAGCTCCTGCCATCGGCTTTAAGGGACCCCAGAGCCTTCCCATTCGTTCTCCTTAAAATTAAAATCATGCATTACGACAGGGCCTGGCTGATCAGAAAGGAGCCCACAGAGACCTCCCTTGTACCTGTGGGCTTGGCCCCAGGTCCCACGTGGGTGCCGAAACCCAAGGACACTCCAGTCCCTGGTATACGTGGCTTGGTGTCTGCTTTTCACCCGCACACCTTCTCCGTGTAGGCGAGCGTGTCTCCGGGTGACCTCGGCAACCCCCGTGGTGGACATGCTCCGCAGTGCCTGCCGTACTCTGCTGTCCTCTTGTTCTGTATTTTTATCGCTTTATATATTTCCCCCATGCACTACTTTCAGTCTGTGGCCGGCTGAACCCCGGATGTGGACCTGCAGAGACAGAGGGCTGACTGTTGCAAGTCTCCTACACTGGGAACGTTACCCAGCTCCTCCAAGAAGACTGAGGGCAGCCGTGCTAGAGCAGGCCACCCACGGGCTCCTCACGTTAACAGCTTTCCTCTTCATGTTTAATTTATTTAAATTTTTAGAAAGAATGATTTAAGTTTTATTTATTTATTTATTTCAATTTGACCAGAGAGGGAGCGAGAGAGAGAGAGAGAGAGGGGTAAAGTGAGAAAGCAAGCTGCCAGGTCCGGGACTCGAACTGTGGTCATCCATGTGGCAGTCCAGCCCCCTTAACCACTACTCCACCCAACAGCTCCCCTCTTCACTTTTGAAGGAGCACTGCCAAGGAACTTGTGCATGTGTGTGTGTGTGTGTGTCATGTGTGTGGGGCGTGTGTGCCTCTGTGGTCTGTGTGCTGTGTGCACGTGTGTCCTGTATGAGTATGTGGCATGTGTGTATACTTGTGTGGTACGTGGGTTTCTGTGACGCGGGGTGTGTGTATACATGCATGTCGTGTGTGGTGTATGTGGATGTGTCCGTGCTGTGCACGTGTCCTTGTCCCTACCCCGACCTCTCCGCACACACTGCACTCCGTTCCCGTGGAGCTCCCCGTCAAGGGCCCGGCTGGTGGTGTCATCCCCTGGTGGATGCGTGAGGGCTATGTCCACAACCGTCAGAGCAGGGCGGGAGTTCGGACCGGACTTGTGGCTCAGCGGTCAGGGCCGCAGGGCAGGGGCGTTTCCACGGCCTGGAGCAGGGGTGGCTTCCCGCCCTGGCGAGAGCGGTGGCCTCTGGGTGGTGTTCCCACGCGGTCGCTGCATCGGTCCTGCACAGAGCCGAGAGGAACAGGGAGCAGGGTGTCTGGGAGACGGGGAGAGGATTTCAGAGGGCAGAGCCTGGGCCCCGGGCCGGGGCCTTACATCAGACACCACGGGAACAGTGAGGGGGCCCCCGTGGGGAGGAGGGCCCTGGGCTCCCAGGCAGCAGGCTGGCCGGTCCCTCTGCTTTCTAAGCTGCTGGAGCGCAGCATTTCCTGTGTCTAACTTGGTGGCAATGTCCGGTTTGTACCTTACACCACCGAGTCCCAGACCGTGGGTTAGTTGAGTGAAGGACTGGTGGGACGCCTCCCTCAGGAGCCTGGTGTGGGGCCTTGAGATGGACTGCCGTGCCTGTCCGGCATCTCAGAGGACAGACAAGGGGAGTCTAGAGCCTTCTGGCTAAGAGCAGCGCCTGGCCTGGGCACCGTGGTCCTCTGGCCAGTGGCAAACTCGAGGACGTGCATGGCTTGGCCTCGCCCGGCGACCTCTGGGCGTGCCCTGCCACCTGACCTCGTAGCTCTGCGTTTCCTCCTTGTGAAGTATCGGTTTCTGGGGAAAAGGAGAGGTTCCGACGTAGTGTAAGCAGGTGTGTCTACATGGCCTTCGTCTCCTCGCCCATCCCATGACAGCGTGGGGCAGGTGCGGCCGCCCGGCCAGAGCGCACTGTGGCCTGCAAGGGACATGCCATTTTGACCTTGCTGTAAGCTGGACTGTCACGACCCTGTGCCAACCCCTTAAGTACATGCACGGTGCTCACGCTGTGGTCTCTCTGCCGGGAGGGAAGGCAGGCCCCAGCTGGTACGGGCGTGTGGAAGAACCCCCCCTTCCTGGCTACTGCCCTGTCTGTGGAGCTCGGTGGACTGTGCAGGGCTGGCATGGGACACAGGTCGTCCCACAGCAGCTGGTCCCTCTGTTGCCCAGGGCCTGCCGTGGGATGTATGAGCCCGCCGTGTCATGGCGGTGCCCCGGGCTGTCCTTGTTATGTAGTGGAGGGAACGGTGTCAGGGGCACGTGTGTGTGTGTGTGTGTGTGTGTGTGTGGTGGGACCCGGAGAGCACGTCTCGCCCCACCCACAGGGCTGGGCATCCTGGTTACGTGGGAAGGTGGCCAGCTTGGTCTTCAGCTCCCAGTTCCCCTCCGTGCTTTGATGGAGGCCACAGAGATGGCGCCACGGTGCTGCCTAGCTTGGCTGCGCGTGTTTTCCCAGCACCACCCCCGTGGCCTGGTGGAGGGAGGCGAGCCGCCGGCTTCCCTGCGCGTTCCCGGGCCCCAGTCCAGTGTGGCTCTGTGCCCGGCCGGGGCCACTCCGATCTGCCTCTGGGCCTGCCATCGGGACACCCTGCAACGTGGGTGCCGGGTGCTCAGACCTTCCCACCGCCTCTGACGCACACGGCAGGGACCCCGTGGCGGGGACCCTGCTCCGCTTCTCTGTCGCTCTGGGTCGGGATGGAGGGCTGTGGGGGCTCCACAGGGACTCAGCCGCTCCCTCCCGCAGGAGCCATCATCAAGAGGAAGAGTGGGGAGATCCCCTGCCCGCTGGCCGTGGAGGCCTTCGCCGCCCACCTCGGCTACATCTGCCGGTACGACGACAAGTACAGCAGGTGAGCCTCGGGGCCACGCGCCCCCGCCCGAGCCCGGAGCCTCCTCAGGGGGTCTTGCTCCCACTCACCACCCTCCAGGTCTCTGTCCCTTTGCCCAAATGTGCCCTTCCCCCACTCACCCCGGTCGTGTCCCCACCCAACCCCGTCCATCCATCCCTGCTCACAGTCAGCGCAGCCCGGCTCTGCAGTAGCCCAGCTCACCTGCTGCACTGCCTCCTCACCCGCGGGCTGGGGGCCCCGTCCTCACCCGCGGGCTGGGCACACAGACATCAGCCCAGTACCCCGCCCTGGCCCGTGTCTGGAGCCACCCCTTAACTGTCTGAAGTGCGGACACTCGTCAGGTCGCCGAGCCATCTCATCTTGAGTACTCAAGCAGTACGCGCAGGGACACACGGTGTACCGTCAGGTCGCCAAGCCATCTCATCGTGAGTGCTCAAGCAGTACGCGCAGGGACACACGGTGTAGACGCCACACGTGTGTGTGATGTACCAGCACACGCAGCCCCGACGCGGCCCAGCCACGTGTCACCTCGCCATGGCAGGACCTCAGAAAGGGACTGCTGTGAACGTGCATTGGCTGCCGGGTCCCCAGGATGGGCCTGTGGCCTTGAGCAGGTGGCACTAACTCAGGGACCTCTGGGCTGAGTCACTCAGCCCTCTTGAGGAGCACCTGTTCTTGGCAAGGAAGAACCAACCCAGTTCCCTCTGGAAAATTCTACCTAAGTGAGAATGGCAGTCCCATTCTTTAGGGACTCACTGGACAAGTGTTTATTGCACACCTACTGTGTGCCAGCACCTCGCTAGGTTCCCTGAGGGTGCTGCAAAGAAGAGGCATTGGTTTAGGGGACGGTGCGGCATCTCTGTCACCTCACAGATATTGTCAGATGCAGGGACAAGAACAGGTGGGACAATACAGGGTTCCCACGCTGTAGCCTAGTGGCTAAGGGAGCTGGATCCCACATGGCCGACCGCATCTCACACCGCGGCCCCATGGCTTAAAACATGCCAGACACATGTACATGCGTGCCCCCGAATCCTGATGGGATGGAGATGGAGAGGGGATTGCAGTGTGACCACGTCCCATTGGGGGCGCTGCTCCCTCCCCCCCTCTCTCTGGCAAGTGCCCGAACCCTCTGTCAACTAAAAAAAGAAAACAGGAAATACAGCGAGCGAGCCCTAGGACGGAGGAGCGGCAACTCTCGGGTCAGCCTCCGGGTGCAGGCAGGCCTCCGGGTGACCTCCGTACTGCCGTCTGGACGGCTGGGGGTTGGCAGTGGTGTGCTTGGCAAGAAGGGAACGCACGGCAGGGCCTAGCGCCAAGGAAGCGCGTCCCTGAGGGGAGTGGGGCAGCTGCTGTGCACAGAACCCAGCCTGAGCAGTGCGTGTGGATGGTGTGGATGGTGTGGAAGGTGTGGCCAGGTGTGGCCAGGTGTGGCCAGGGGTGGCCCCCCACAGGACACTGCCCCCGCTTTCTGTATCTCCCCAGCGGCCTGCCCCACCCTGCCTTTGAGAAGAATTTCCTTGTCTCAGTGAAGTTCACTGTGACTGAGCTCCCCTGCAGCCTGATCCACCCCAGCCCCTGCACCTGCACCTGCGGGGGGAATCGCAGCCTCTCCCCAGCCATGGGGGCCGGCCTTGGGCCTGCCTGCCCTGGCCACCAGCTCAGCCTCTCCATCCCCTCCGTCCTCAGGTATTTCATTTCTCACAAGCCCAACAAGACCTGGCAGCAGGTGTTCTGGTTCGCCGTGAGCATCGCCGTCAACAACGCCTACATAGTGTACAAGATGTCGGATGCCTACCACGTGAGCAGGTACAGCCGCGCGCAGTTCGGGGAGAGACTCGTCCGGGAGCTGCTGGGCCTGGAGGACGCCTCGCCGACCCACTGATGCCGGCCGGGGGCGCCGCCCGGGCTTGAGCGGGGACCAGGTCGAGCAGGGGAAGAGGAGGAGACCTGCCCGGTGCAAGACCCGGAGATGCCCGCAGCGGGGCTTGCTGCCCAGGGGGGCCCAGGCCTCGGTAGGAGGACTGACGTGGTCGGAGGATGGCCGCTGTCCCGGCTTCCACCCAGAGCCCATCTCCCTGCGTGGTGAGTGCTCTGTGGATGTGGGCTCCATGCCGGAATCCCCAGGGCCATCCTTCCTCAGGACACGGCAGAGAACACTTGGGATAGCAGAGGCCCCACGAGGGGATGAGCCGTGGCACGTGCCTGCTTCACGAAGGTGGAAAGAGCTTCGCGACACGGTTCAAGTTCAGGCACAGAAGCGAGCGGGTTTCAGCTCTGCCGGTCAGGAGTTGGGGGAGGCCTGGAGCCAGCAGCTCTGAAGGGAGGCGTCGCAGCAGAAGAAACATGGGCTCAGCGAGGGACAGGCGTGGCGCAGCTGCTGGGCCTCATGTCCAGCCGGGAGCTGGGAACGCCAGAAGAACTGCAGCAGGGGGTGATGCTATTTTTATTTTTAATACACCTTCAGGTTATTTTCTTACTGTTGCGTAGGGGCTGATGTAAAGGAGCTGTCCCCTCTCCCACCCCGCCCAGTCCTGGTCCTTGCATGTCCAGTGCTGTGTCCTGTGCTGTGGCAGGCTGGCGGGCAGCTCGCTCCCGGAGCAATCGCGGTCGAACCGTCCGAGGACCACAGGAACCTGGGTTTCTGCCCCAGACATCCCCGCTCCCAGAGCCCCTTGTTTTGACAACCATGTGGCATTGCTGAAACAATGACGTTCTTACAGGTGACCGCTCGCTGGTCACCCTCCGTCTGGTAAGCCTGGCAGCGTCCACCGTTCTCTGAGTGGTCCCGCAGAGTGGCTGGCCTTGACGTGGGCCTGGGACCCACCTGGGTGGGGTGTGATTGGACAGGGGCCGCAGGATGGCAGTGGCAACACGGCTGTCAGTGGGCGGGGGCGCCTTCATCTCCTGAAGGACCAACTGTACTTGTCCCCATGGGAAACCCAGCAGAGGAGTGGGTGACTGGCCTGCCGGTCCCCACAGACAAGAAACAAATGGTTTCTGGGACTACCCTGCCCTTCAGCCCCGTTTATGTAACCACCTCATTTTTACCAATGCGGAATCTGCTCAGGCTATGGGACTCTTCCTGCACTCCCTTGGCGAGGTAGTTGTCGCGGCAGCATGCTCCCACGGCCACGGCCACGCTGTCTTTGAGCTCCGACGAGCCCCTGCCCTGTGGTTTTAATCCAGATGCCACGGATCGTAGGCCAAATTTTAGATCGTGTTCCAAACACCTTTGCCGTGCCCTTCAATTGGATCAAAAGCACTTTTACCACATGAAGAAATATATTTTTAATTTGTGATGCTTTTCTACAAGGTCCACTATTTCTGAGTTTACTGTGTTTCCAACACTTAGGGAGACGCTAATGAAAGCCGATAAATTTTCTTTTCTGTCCGAACCAGTAAAATAAAAATAAAAGTCTATTTAGATGTTGAGCCTTTGTTACTGTCTGGCTTTATTAAAAAGGTCAGAAACTAACTACAGGCCGCTCCTTGGCAACAGGATGGCCTGTGGTGCCCCCTGGGTGGTTTATGGGGGAACCGGCCAGGTTTGGGCTGAGCGCTCCGTGCTGACGCTGGCATTCCGTTCTTGGTGCCTGTCCCTCGGAGACGCCTTCCGCCCGGAGAGTGCCACCGTCCCATGTCGTGTCACGGGAGCTGAGGTGCTCTGATGGGAGCAGTGACACTGCCCTCCCCAGTGATGAGTCACCCACGGTCTCGGCGCCCTGTGCCCCGTGGTGGCACTGCTTTCTGAGAAGTGCTGAGTGCACAGCAGCAGAGGCGTGTGGCCGACTGCGAAGTTTCCCTCCTCCCAGAAAGACAGAGACGTAGGACTGACCGACTGGACGAACCTTCAGGGACCTTGACTTTGCCTTAGAGACGTCATTTGAGTGATGTTTTTTTTTTTTCAGAATTGCTCAAGTTAAAATTCTTCTGCCCCAGGGGCCAGCAGGTAGCGTGGTGTTTAAAACACTGAATTCCCACGTGGCTGACAGAGGTTCGCATCCCAGAGCGGGTGGCTTGCTTTCTCGCCCCCCACCCCCGCCTTTTTTTTTCTTTTTTTTTTTGAGATTTTAGCTATAGGGTGTGTGCGCTCGCTGGAAAGACAGAGAGACAACAAGAAATCACCCCCTAGGGGGAATGGCCATGCCACAATCCCTTTTTCTCCATTCTCCTCCCGGGATCTTGGGCATGCATGCACACGCGCCTGGCATGAGGTTAAGCCACTGGGTCCAGGACTCAAACCACGGTCAACTACATGGGAATCCAGCGACATAGCCATTACGCTGACTGCTGGTCCCGTCAATTTCCCTCTCTCTGTCTGTCTCTTTGTGGTGAGTACACGTGCCCTGTAGCAGATTTGAAAATAATAAAATTCTAAAAAAAAAAAAATTCATCGCCTGTAGTGTCTCCCTGGGTTTGATGGCCTTCGGGTTGACACTGGATTGGCTTATCTAGTAACAGGCCATCCCTGGTGACCAGCAGAGGCCCCAGTAAGTGACTCGCACAAGGTCAGCAGGCCTCTCTGCATCCAATGACCAGGGAGACCCTCTCCCCTCAGGCCCTGCCCCAAGATAGATTGGCCCTCCCTGGGACGCCCTGGCTGCAGTGTTTCAGAAGTCGTGGGTGTCCGTGGGGCCAGCTGGTGGCGCAGCAGCAAAATGCAGTGCACTGTATATGAAGAGAGGTGCATGCATGTGTGTGCATGTGTACGTGTGTGTGTGCACACCGTAATCTGAGGATGGCATCAAGATCCTGTTGGTAAAAGCAAACACAAAAAACAGACCCCGAAGTGCTCCACGGCTCTGCAGGACCCCCAGCCGTCAAGCTCTGTGTCCAGTCCTGGCTCCGTCTCACAGCAAGAGACAGTTGGTCGTGTGTCTGTGGGTGCATGTGCAGGGAGCGGTCCAGGAGCGTGAGGACGACTGTCCGCCTGGTCAGCAATACTGCCGGGAGACAGGAATGGGGAGCGAGGTGAGGGGCTGACTGGGAGGCTGGCCACTGGCCTCTGGCTTTCCTGGCCCCTCTGGATGGAGCAGACTTGACCGAGTGGCTCCCGGGTCCAGTGGGGAGCAGAGGTGCACGTCACTGGGAGTGGCCTTCAGCTCAGAGGGTAAGCAGTGGTCAGCATTTGCGGCTGCCTGGCCTGCATACGTGCACCTCCACAAACTGGGAGGCTGTGCCATTGCTAAATGGCCCCCAGAGGCAGGGAGCCCGAGGCCTGCGGGCTGAGGTTTGAATCCCAGCCCCAGTGGCTTGAAAAGGCACGTGAGTGGCCAAACCAGGACAAGATAGAGGACTGGAGAGGGACTGCAGCTGGCCACGCCCATGGCGGCGCTTCCCCTGCTCCCCCTTCTCCGCTGAGCCCACAGGTCTCGTGGCAAGTAAGCCGTTTGCTTAAACCCTGCGTTGGCTCTGAGGGAGGCGGCCGTGGTAAAGGGCAGTGGGCTCTCGCAGGTGTGCACACCTTCCTGCTGCTGTGGGCCGTGTCCTGACAAGGGCCAGAGGCCGCCCACATGCTCGGGCTTTCCAGGCACCAGTCGGAGCCGAATGAACCCACGGCCTTTGTACTGAGCCTCCAGCCCCAGCTGTTTCGGTTCTGCAACTCCATAAGGACGAGGCTCCTGTCCTGAAAAAGCCCAAGGCCGTGAGACCCAGGGTTCTCTGCCGGCGGCTGTTGAGCAGCCGCTGACTCGTCCCCTCCCAGCCCCCGCGA